CCCCCACCCCCCCACCCCGATACCCCGATATGTTGTCATCTGTACCTCCCCCTTCCCATCCCATACAAACGCATGTATCTTACCTTGAGTTCCCTCCCCTTGGAGGGACCTAAGGGACGAGGTTGTGAGCCCCGCGCCCGCCTGGCGGTTGCTGGCCGCCTTGCGCGCCGTCGCTGACAGTCTCGTCATGACGTCATCGATCTATTCGTTACGAGACACAGCACAGCAATGCAGTAGTGAACAGGGGAGCGAAAGCACTCGGATGACCCAGCAACAGAGGGGGAACAAACACATAACAAACACAGGGCTGGTTGCTGAGAGTCTCGTCATGACGTCGTCGATCTATTCGTTACGAGACACAGCACAGCAATGCAGTAGTGAACAGGGGAGCGAAAGCACTCGGATGACCCAGCAACAGAGGGGGAACAAACACATAACAAACACAGGGCTGGTTGCTGAGAGTCTCGTCATGACGTCGTCGATCTATTCGTTACGAGACACAGCACAGCAATGCAGTAGTGAACAGGGGAGCGAAAGCACTCGGATGACCCAGCAACAGAGGGGGAACAAACAAATAACAAACACAGGGCTGGTTGCTGAAAGTCTCGTCATGACGTCGTCGATCCTCGAAGACAACGTCGTATAGTACCTAGTCAAGACTCAACAACTGAAGCTCACCCCACACGCATGACATGCGGTAACCTCCCGACCCCCCTCTATTAAGGAACCATAACCATGCAAACGACACGAATCACCGGGTCTTTGCGATGGAAAGCAAGAGCCCAAACGGGAGTGGCTTTGAGGCAGGCCTTGGCATAACACTTTTCCAGCTTTCCCAGCGCCACCGGACGAGGCTGTTGCTAAACGCCGACATCACAGGCCAACTACTAACCCCAAAACCAAAAGAACGCATAGTCGTGAGCAATCCAAGACAGACCCGCCCCCTCCCTACACGCCGAAAGTCCCACCGCTCGCCCTTGAGAACGTCAAGTAAACACGGCACGCAACACACACACACACACACACACACACACAGCACAATGTTGTTTTCAGCCGCACTGAAGACTTTCCATTGCTCAGCGCGGTCGATGCCAGCAACAAAAACACGCACACGCACCCGGCCACCTTAGCCTGGCCCGTTGGTTTGAATGCGGTACCGTATCTCCACAGCGGAGAGTGCGGCGGCGGCGCCGAAAACGGCGGCGCTGAAGCTGTCTCGTCAAGAGAGCTTTCCGAAAAAAAATACGGTTTCATCATAGATGCGTACCTTGATCACGTGCCACCCGCGACCGGTGGGAGTAACGAGCACGTCCCCGGGCTTGTAGTCCAGCAGCGCCGTCCGCGCGGCCAGGGGAAGGATCTCCTCCATTCCCGCATCCGCGTCCGCCATCGCGCCAGACAACGCCTCCTCCGCCTGCTGCTGGCTCCCCTGCTCCGCCTCGCCGTTCTGGCTCAGGCCGGCCGGCAACACGCGGGCCGCGGCCGACGCGGGCACGGCAAGCTGCGGCGACTTGGGCGGCGAGGTTGCGATCGGCTCCACGCGCTGGCCCTGCGGGGTGCTCGCCCACCCAACCTTCGGATGGTGATGGTTCAGACAAGATAATTCCGGAGGGGGAGGGTGTATGATCATGTTTTGCATGCCTTTGCGGTTAGACCATTGACCATGTCGGGGGGGAGGGGGTTACTCACATGTGGAAAAAACACGGGGTTTCTACAACACAGCAGATACGAGCCTGGCACAGGACAAGCCTTACTCCGACAGTTTCCAGAAAACAAAGCTCAGACCCTTGCTGATATCGGCCCCATGTTCCAATATTTGTGGCCACGGCCCAGCAGTTGCTGCCTTTATACGGGGCATCGCACTTCCTTACATGCTGCCTACCATCTCGAAATACCATCTACGTCGCGGCTCTTTCTCCATCGGGGTTACGTGAGTCGACCTCGACGCCCTCGCGCAAGCCAAACCCCTTTCACTTTCATTCGGCCTGCTGGCGTGCAGCTTCACCATCGCGAAGATACGCCCACGGCAGTCATTTTCGTCCCACCACCCCCTCCCCCCTCCGTCCTCTCAAGGACGCGTGGTCAATGGCCTAACCCTTAGGGCATGCAAAACATGAAAACGCTCCACTCCCCCCGCCCCCCTACGACTACTGACTTTCTCACACCGCATCAGGAGGGCGGCCCAATATCGCAAACCATGTTTGCTTGCGAGTTACTGCTGCTCGATACGGACACTCCTCTCCAAAGATCGACTCCGGTTCTTGCCTCATGTTGAACCTCGTTTTTTTGTGCATTTACCTCTCCCCCTTTTGCCCGTGTTGCCTGGCAGTCGCTGATGCTCGAGGCGAGCTCTCCGAAGTCCACCCCTTCTCTGATCTGCTCCAAGCAAGTCTTCGCCAGGCCCTCCGTCTGGACCAGGATGTGCCGGACATACCTGTCATATCAGTGCGTGTGTGTTTCATTACACTGCTGTAGGACCGACCGCGCCAACCGGCTGACCAATGAAAATACGACAAGTCTCAGTGCGGCAAAAAGATGCCAAGCGTTTCCAGAAGGCCTTCAAGGCCTCGAGTGTGTGTGTTTGAAATAGCATCGCGCTTCCGGGCTGACCAATGAAAGCATGTCGGTCATACGCATACAGCGGGGTAACAACATGCAAACAACACGCCTTCTAGTCGAAGGTGTGTGTATGTTCCTTGAACCCGCATCGACCGAGCTAACCGGCTGACCCATGAGAAAGAGTCAGTCTTGCAGATAGCGAGAAAAGAAGGTGGGTCGTCTAGATATCGAGTGATTGGCATCAAGAATACGCGACACACGGAATGTCATCGTGTAGTACGAATGTAGTGCCCCATACAACGCCCAGCATGGACTCACCGCCGTACACGTGCAGGGCAGTTCGGGGGGTGTACTACAAGTACCAGCGGTCGAGATGCACTACGCATATATGTAGGGTGTCGACCGTAGGGTGAAAATGTCAACCTGCGTCGCCCACTACAAACTGTCTACCAATGTGTGGCAGGGTTATTATATCTACTACAGTTGTACGAAGCGCTACACCAAGGTACAAACCTCTATCGTCGCCCAAACGGTGGGTCGTCTTATTAAAACTTGGAACGAGCGTGTGGAGGAGGGGGGAGGAGGTGTACTCATAGTCGTGCATGCCGTAGTCGTTAGACCATTGACCTCGCATCAAAGCCGGGACGGAGCACGCCGGGTTCTCACCGGACCAGGCTCTCTCACCAAGCGCGAAGCGCCGTGAGGTGTTCGGCGAGTCGCATGTAGGGTGCGTGTGGAGGAGGGGGAGGGGAAGAAAATGCGACATAATACAGCAGTAGTGGCTGATCCCCGCAAGTCTTTCCTGTCGAAGTGAGAACTCTCTCCTACCCTCTTGTATCGTACTCTCTCTGTGTGTGTGTCTTTCCTCTCTGACTGGTGCATTTTGGGCGGGTGACACCAAACGCTCGATTCTGCTGCCATCTTCTGGCGTGGTCTGTTCATGTTGCATGTTGCACCTCCGCATTTTGCTGTGACCTTTCAGACGGGCAGTTGAAGAAACCACACAACGGCACGACGGCCCTCTAGACCAACGCTAGCAGTGCAGCAGTACATGCATGCACGCTCACACATACCGGTCACTCATACCACTGGCAACTCACAACGGCACGGAAAACACTTACATAGCCTCGACGTTGCTGTAGTCGACCGTCTCCTGAGCCTTGGTGAACCAAGGCTTCACAACCTTCTTCCTTTTCGGCTGGGTCGCCACGGCTGTGCTGCCGTCGCTGCTGCTATCGGCAAACAGCGGCCGACCACCGCGAGACGGCTCGGCTGCAGGTGTGGCCTGGCGCACATCCCTGGGGCCCGCTGTTGCTCGCCCTGTTCTTGCCGTTGTTGGCGGCAGAGTAAACCCGGTTGCCGCACGACAAGAGAGCCACACACCGGCAAGGATTGCTACCGAGCCTCGTCGCCGTCTTCGAGTCACCGTCGCCATGGGAGAACTCGTGTGCGTTGCGTACTACTGTAGCTCGTTGGCCACTCACAATGTTAATAACCAAACAGCAGGGGAATCCTGCCTGTTCTCCGTACAATTGCGATAGGTTGGTGTCACATGTGTTGCAGGGCTGTGCTGTGTGCTGTGTCATCTGCTGTGTCCGGGGTGCCCCGTGGATTTGATTCCTTCCGCTCTATTGGTGTTGGGGAGGCGGGGACCATTCTCGGCAGATGCGACACCAGGGCGGCGGTGGAGTTATCTGCCTGCCTTGCGCGGGACGCACGAGTTGAAGAACGCATGCAGGCCAAGGACTAGCGAGGGTCGCAGTTCACAGGCTTTCGCGTGGTTGCGAGATCGACAAGGGGCGTTGTGTTGGCGTCGCTCCTGGGCCTTCCTAAGAGGGCAAGCAGGATGGATCAACGCAGCCTGCAGCAGCAGCAGCAGCAGCAGCAGCAGCAGCAGCAGCAGCAGCAGCAGCAGCAGCAGCAACAGCAGCAGCAGCAGCAGCAGCAGCTTGGAGTGTCGGCCCAGCAGCTCTTTGGCGGTCAGCAACAGGCTAGACAACACCAACAGCTGCAACAGCAGCCGCACCAACAGCACTCGGGGCACTACGAGGTGATGGGCACGAACTGGGTTGTACAGCGTTGCACAGCAGCAGCACCTAAAGCTCTCCCTCGTTTGTGCTGCTGGGAGCGGCGCGAAACACGAACCGCACGGCGAACGCGCCATTTACGTTCAGGAAGTTAGGCAGGCAGGCTGGCAGGCGGGCGCAGGAAGAATACGTAGCACAAGAGTCTGGCTTCGATTCGGGTATCGTAGCGCCCTGGCGCACGTTCAGTCGTCTCAATGCATGTGGTGTGTGTTTGTTACCCGGAACGGTAGGTCTAACTGCTTGAGGTTTGGGATGTCCCACCCATGCACCTTTCGCGCGTATCACATAACCAGTGTTTACTTCTCCACTACACATGGGGCAACGGTCGCTTGTGGACCTCCAGTCCGGGAAAGAGCCAGCAGGTTTGACGGGTTGCACCATGCTGATAGTCCGATGGCATGGCGCACATGTTGGTCACGTTGAGATGTTGTATGCATACCAAAAGCGAATTTTGAATGTGTCCTTCCAGTTTCCATCGAACCGATAGCAGGTGTCATCAACGTGGCGCACCCCGACCTCCTGCACCCCTCTCTGCCCCAGGCACAGCCTGACCAGCGGAGTTACAGCCAGCACCCAGGCGACTTGCGCTACCACGTACCATTGCAGCAACGACACATGCAGCAACGACACACCCAGCAGCAGCCGCAGCAGGTTTATGCCCAGCAGGAGGAGGCAACGCAGGCCCAAGGGCATCATCAACAGCAGCCGCTTGCTTTCCAGCAGCAGCAGCAGCAGCAGCAACTCCAGCGACAGCAGGCGCAGCAACAGCAACTTCAGCGACAGCAGCAGCAACAGCAACAGCTTCAGCGGCAGCAGCAGCAGCAGCAGCAGCAGCTAATGCAGGCTCGTCGTCAGCCCCTGTCAAGGGAGCAACAACTTCAGCAGCACCGGCAGCAACAAGTAGCGGCCCTTCAGCAGCAGCAGCAGCAGCAGCAGCAGCAGCTTCCTCTTCAGCAAGCGCAACAACAGGCCCGCAACGGAGGCATCGCTGACGCCACCAACACCGACAGCAACGACAACGTAGCCGGTGCGGCCGCGGAGCCACCCTCTTCCTCCCAGGCGCACCCCCCCTATATCTTCAACCCCACACAGCTCGAGGTCCTCAAGGGACAAATCGCGACGTACCGGAAGCTCGCCCAGCACATGGACCAGAGCAAGGCCGACCACTCGGCTTTCCTTTCCCAGCCACAGCAGCACGGGTCCATGAACGACGTTCTTCCGCCGTTTTCATCACCGACGTCTCACGACCCTCTTCCAGGAGACGGGGGCGGCGGCGGCGGCGGGGTGCTGGCCCCGCTTCGCGGTCCGGGCATGCCTCCTGCCGGCAGCGCCGGCAACAGCTCCTCCCTTCCGGGTAAGCTCTCGTCGCCTCCTGCCGTGCAAGCAGCAGACGCGGCGGAGCAACAGGGGGCGGCAGCGACGGCGGCGGTGGCGGCGGCGGTGGCGGCGGCGGCGGCGGCGGCCCCCCCCCCGCCGGCGACGGTGGCGGCCACCCCCCCGCCGGCGACGGTGGCGGACAGGCGGGGCGGGAGAGCGGATAACTTCGAGGATGGCGGTGGCGGCATCGGCGGTGCGCCCGGGTTATGGCGCGATGCGGATGCCGCTTCTGCTGCTTCTGCTGCCTCTGCGCCGCAACCTGGCACAGCAGCGGTGGAGCAGCAACAACCCTTCTCGAGGGCACGTTGGGGGCAGCAGACGAACGCGGCGGCGGCGGGCAGAGGGCAACACTACACGGCGAGCTATGGGGTGTATTACCCCGCCCGTTCCGTGGGCAGCGGCCTCCCGCGCCAGGTGGCTGCAAAGGTATGGTTATGGCCCATCGTCGCGATGCTTGCCTCGCGGGTACGTGTATGAGCCCAGAAGGTGGTAGTTGGTTGATGTGCGCGTGCGCGTGTGAGGAGGAGATGGTAGTTACCTGTGGTCCGTCGGTGTTCGCCTTGGTCATGCTTTTCTTCGCTCTTCGTTTGTTCACGCCCGTGGCTCATCCGCGACGGGTGATGACATATGCCCGCTTGTCTGGCAAACCCGCAGTTGGTCTTGTCTCGTATTTTGTACGTTCGCTAGAGTTTTCTTTCTTTCTCTCTCTCTGTCTCTCTCCCTCTCCCTCTCTCTCTCTCTCTCTCGCTCGCTCTCTCTCTCTCTCTCTCTCTCCCTTGCTCGAAGCTTTTGCTATGGCGAGCCCGTGTGGGCTCCATCATGTTGGACCATCACCCTACAGAGATACACTCCTTGGATCTGAACCAACACAATGTTTCTTACGTCGTCGTGACGTCTGCAACAACACGTTTTTTGCCTTTGCTTGTACCCCCAGGACGTCGGCCCGGGCATCGCAACACATCTGGGCGCCAATCCCTCCACGGTGGATCCCTTGGCTGAGCGCGAGACCCGACTCAAGCAGGAGTTGGAGAAGGACGGACACGCGGTAGCGGACGCGGGGGACGAGGAAGGGCGAAAGGCGGCGGCTGCGACGCTGGCGGCGAGACAGCGAGAGCTGTTTACGGTTCAGGTACTGTAGCCTTGGTTCCGGTACGACACCATATGGATTTCCCTTTCTCTCTCCCTCTCTCTCTCTCTCCCTCTCTCTCTCTCTCCCTCTCTCTCTCTCTCTTTCTCTCTCTTTCTCTCTCTCTCTCTGCCAATCTTGTCGATGGTGGTGGTTTCGATTGTGGTTCACGCCGCACACATCTATCGACGGGTTGGGCCGGGTACAAGCTCCGGAGAGTTGTACTTAGAAAGCTCCCCACGTGACCTTCACGGGACTAACGACATGCCTCGACCCACACAAACCCCCCGCTGCTGCTTGCAACGATGTTCCCAAACCATCGACAGACGCGGAAGGTCTGCCGGACCTTCCGACAGACGGCACCATCACTAATGACATCGACAAGACCGTTGGTCCCAGGGCAATGGCCTCGAACGGCTGCGCCCAAGTTTCCCCCGAGCGCAAGTTTCTCATCGTCGAGACCCTCCGCCAGCAAGGTGGGAGCGACAACGTGTTGTTGTCTTCGTCGTGGCCAGTGCTATTGCCGCCGCGATGGTTGGGCGCCCTCGTTGCTGCTGTCGCATATGTTGTGGTTGATATCGTGGGCATCGTCACTAGGGCTGGTGGTTCTTGCTGTCAACTTTGGGAGACTGTCAACAATCTTGGCCGCGCATGTTTCTCGCTACGTGCCGCAGGTTCGTCGAGAAACACTAAATGGCGGCCTCCCCACAGATCGTCGCCGTTGCCTCGTCGACTAGCTCTCACAATCAAGGATATCACGTTGATGCATCTCGGTGTGCGGTTGATGCATCTGCAATACTCATGGTTAGCGACCGACCTACCGTAGGCACCAGGCAACGAACGGGCGCCCTCATCATTCCCGTCCAGTGATGCTAGTAAAGGTCGTGTCACCCCCACTCTACGCGAAAAACGGCTCATTTTCGCGTCGACGAGAAGAAGGATATTTTCGAGATATTTTCAACCCCGTCCTCTTCACGCAGTTAGCACTCGATCTTGGATTGTTGTGGTCGAGACGGTATCGAACGGTCGCACGAGAAGCCGTGCCCAGAGAGGCGTGCTGCCCCGTCGTGGCCGTCCTGATAACCTTCTCCCGCTTGTTCGATACCCCATCCGAGAATTAAACTGCTTGAAACGAAGCTATTGCGCGGATGGGTTGTGTGCACTCGTCCCATCTCTTCTGGTGCCGGTGTACACAACGTTTCGGTGTTCATTTCTAACGTAGAAACCGCTGGGACACAGAAGGACGGTTGACAGCAGCCCTGGCGTTTGCCCCGTATTTCCTCCGGTAGTCTAGTATTCATCGTGCCTTAGTTGTTTTTGCGGGAACAAAACAACACCAAGGTCGTTTGACGCCGATGCAGGCTTCGTGGTCGGTATGATGGGAGACGGTGTACACGACGCGCCCGCCCTCAAGCAGGCGGGCGTCGGGATCGCTGTTCACGGCTCGACGGACGCTGCTCGGGCCTCCGCCGACGTCGTCCTGACGTTGCCCGGCCTGTCGACCATCATCACTGCCATCGAGGTGCACCCCTTGGTGGTGTTTTTGTTGTTTCGTCTGCTTCGTTGGAAGGTGTTGCCGTGGTCTTGGTAGATGCGGCCCTTACACAACAGTGAATACTTTTTGGTTGACAACTCGACGCTTCGATAGCCCAAGAAATATATGGAGAACTTGAACTCCCTATTGGTCACCTCCTGCAGGTCGATAATGGAGCGAGGGTTGCGCAACGACAAACCGATCGCAAGCGAGGACTGCGTCTGTACGTACATCAACATCCGCAAAGTTACCGCGTACCGCCATAAACCAGGCAAAAAAACGGGTCCCGTGTGCATGCTCCGTCGTTCGGTCATTTATTGTTCACGATCGTGATGAGTTCTCTGTTCGATCCAAGCCCCACACCCACCCGCGCAGACTGGCTTCGTGTTTACGAGTCTACACCCACCCATCTGTTCATTATCCTGATGCCTTGTTATTGTTTCCAAAGATGTGCTCTATCCCGAGGTTAGAGAAACGGCCGAACGCCATGCAACCCTTGCAGGCTGCCGCAGGTATGCAAATGTCGGCCTTACGAAACCCTTCGAATTTTCTTCTGAGCAGTAAGAACAAAAACCCGAGCCAGCAGCCATCTATCGGTGGTACAAACTAATTTTCTGTGTCGCTTTTTCTTGCAGGTCTCCCGCCAGGTTTTTGGCAGGATGAAGTGCTACATCATCTACCGAATCACTGCCAGTCTTCAGCTCCTGATGTTCTTCTTCCTCAGCGCGGTGTTCATACACCCATCGGCGTGAGTGTCCGAAAAATAACGAGATGTACCGCCCTCGCGAATGAAGAGGTCGAACAGGCAGACTGCAATTTTGATGCCTTGCATTGTGGTAACGTACTCCTATTCTGCGGTCGTCAAGGGGCGCTGAGGACCCGCACGCGTGTTACCAAGGTTCATTCGTATTTGGCGCGTTTTCGACGGTGCCAGCAGCAAGAAAAGCTCCCTGCCCTTCTCAGGCAGATGGCGATGAAGAAGCCAACTCTCGGACGCTGACTGCCCCCGCGTGCAACATTCTTTTATCCTCGCCTTGTCGAAACCTTGACACGCTCATGGCCTTTCAAGACGGTCCTCAACGACGGGGCGGTCAGCACGATCGCCTACGACAGCTTCCAAGACCCCGGAGCAGTGGTACCTGAAGGACATATACCTCATCTCCAGCGTGAAGGGTGGCGTCACTTGCGGATCCAGCCTCCTCTTCCTGTGGATGGATGAGTATAGAGTTGTCGTTCTGAGGGTCGGTGTTCCCGCCGTCAGCACGAGAGGATCCAGGTGGTGGAAGCGACAGGTATTGTGAGAAGTTCATGGTGAACGACGGTCGACGATGTATAACAGCGTGTGGCCCTCCTCTTCAAGGGTGTAGGCACGTCGTGCAAAACGGAAACAAGTCTTACGTAGAGAGTCGCAGCGGGTATTGGGGGTCCCGTTGCATGTCACACGCCCTTTGCCGTACCCCGGTGCCAATCGTTTCTTGCTTGGGTGCTGGCTGTTGGTCCCTTGGAACCACGGTGCTGCCGAGCATATCGCACATCACGACGCTCAAGGGACTGGACTCCGAGAACGATGAATCCGTGTTCGCGAAGAACGACATGCCGGTGCCGAGCTCCAGTGAGGTGAGCCCAACACGGGCATGGTGTACACACCCAGCAGCGGTCCACGCGGATCAATGCATGCATTGCACACCCTTTTTGCTGACAGCCACTGAATAGCAGAGTGACGGGTCAGAGTGCGTGATGCTTGGCACGGTCTCGAGGACTATTGTGGGCATCGTGTGTCCGGTAGCACGTGCAGGCCGCGGCTGCCGTGCAGCCCAGCTTGCAGGACGAGAGCGGAGATTCATCAACAGCAAACATGTTCGCGTGTTTTATTTTTAGGTGTTACATCACAATCGCAGCCCACCCGTTCGGTGGTTTTGATGGAGCGCATCCATACCCGATTCCCATGCAACATATTATTTTAGTGAAAATATAGGGTGCTGATTGTCTCAATTGTCGAGCCGACTTCCGTCAAAAAAGTTCTATGGAATAATACCCGCAGTGTTTTCGAGGTCCACAGAGATTTTCTTGTGCAATGCACGGCTTGACAAACCAACCGCTCCCCCCCTCGCCGCTCTCCTTGGTACTCGGCTGGAAAAACAATCAAAGTTGGATCCATGATACAACAGGTCGTCACGGGGATGTACCTCAAGATCTCTCTGTCTGACTCCCTCAGCCTGTACGTCGCAAGGTTCCCGACCTGGTTCTTCTTCGCCAAGGCCCCCGGCAAGCGCCTCATCGCAGCCTTCGTGTTTGCCATGGGGCTGAGCACCATCCTTGCGGTCACGTGGCCGCTGGGTGACGGGGCCAGCACGATCGACGCCCGGATGGCGGCGGTGGTGTGGGTGTACTGCCTGGTTTGGTTCCTGGTTCAAGATGCGGCTAAGGTCGCCATCATCCGGCTGATGGAAAGGAGCAACCAGTTCGACATGGGCCACACTACCAGCCACAAGCGCGTCTGTGAGTGTACATTACCATACGCTAGCCGTAAGCTGTTCGGAATCCCTACTTCTAACATTGTCTCATTCGAAGCCTTTGTCCGAATGCGTCATGATCCCCCGACAGGGTGACCGCCTGTTGTAACGCCCCGCCAGCTGCCCTGGGGGGTGTTGTCACACACCGTAGATTGCGGCATAGTTGGAGAAGCAGCAACAGTGCAGCTCTCACCGCTAGATACTTTTCCCAGTGTCCCAACAGCAGCTCATGGAGGGGGTGTTGCCACACACACGCACCGGCAAAGTTCGCGGGGCGAAACATCTCCAATTGCTGTACACGCTCCTACTACTGCTGTTGCATCCATACATCTGTACCACCACCTAAGCTCTGAACGGCGCGGTTTGTCGCTTTTATGAATGATGCTTGAACAGCGCTCCGTAGCCCGCGGCAAGTCTCTTCTCAGTAACCGTTAGTATTCTGGACCCCGTGTCCGCTCCATTCGGCATGTTGCGTTTACACAAGAATGCATGCCCCGCGCGCAAAATACCATCATTCGGACCACCTGGGGGTACGAGCCGTTTTACACCGTGGCAAACACTCGAGCTCTGATGCCGTAACATGTATCACACCCATCCAACATTTTCATTCTGCCATACACGGTGGCCCCAAAAGTCGACGTTGAGGCCGACAGCGATCTCCACCGTCGAGTACCCTTGGGAGATCGCGGGCAGAACCTTTCCAAAAGACCGGCACGGGAGAGGTGGGGGTGTACTCATAGTCGTGCATGCCGTAGTCGTTAGACCATTGACCTCGCATCCCTACAAAGCCGGGACGGAACACGCCGGCTTCTCACCGGACCAGACTCTCACATCACCAAGCGCGAAGCGCCGTGAGATATTCGGCCAGTCGCATGAATGGTGAGCTGCATCCGGCTACGGGTGTTCGGCAACTTGCGCTTACTTCCTTGCGTACGGATGACAGCTGCGTATGACTCAATTTATTTTCTGGTGCTTTCACTTCCAGAGACAGTTGTAGCCACCGTGTAACTGCCTCGAGGNCCAGACTCTCACATCACCAAGCGCGAAGCGCCGTGAGATATTCGGCCAGTCGCATGAATGGTGAGCTGCATCCGGCTACGGGTGTTCGGCAACTTGCGCTTACTTCCTTGCGTACGGATGACAGCTGCGTATGACTCAATTTATTTTCTGGTGCTTTCACTTCCAGAGACAGTTGTAGCCACCGTGTAACTGCCTCGAGGACACTATCCAACACACACCTTCGGGCTCCAACGCCAAAAACCTTGGCCGCCGACATCGCCGCGGCGATGTTTCCTTGTCTGCTCTCCACGGTCTGTTGCCTCGCGTCTCCCTTGCTGCCCCTCAGTTTGTGGGCCTGTCGATGGTGCTTGTTGACGTTGCTCTTATTCCCCTTCGGGCAAGGGATGATCTTGCCTTTTCTCGCCGTCCGGCACGCGCCTACCTGGCATCTGTAAAAAGCTTTGTTGGCCGCTCATGTCTTGCTCACAACACCAGCTGTCACGCAGCAGTTTCCAAGGCTGAACAGGAAGGAATCCTCAAGGGTCCCTTCCTGCTGTCCGGCACTTGGAACGACTCGACGGCGTTCTTCGTAACCTCCGGCACGACGTACTCCGCTCCGCCCAGGGTCAAGACCGGTTCGGGTTCGTTGACGCTCACCGACTGCGAATCTCCTCCACTCGCATGCATAGAGTCCGCCACCACCACCTCGGCTTCGTCTTGTTACGCCTCTTGTTGTGAGGAACCCGCTGCAGGACCACCCGCTGCGGGACCACCCGCACCGGGAGGTGCGGCGGGACCACTGCTTGCGTCACTAATTGGGAACCCGCTGCGGGACCACCCGCAGCGGGTTCCTCACAACAAGAGGCG